CGTGGGGCTTAAATGGGGTGAGAGCCCTTTCTTTAAGGGGAGGTTCTGGTGAAAATCTTGCTATTTTCCAAATGGATTCCACTGTCACAATTTGTTCGGAATATAAAATCTTTCTTTTAGGAGACTAAAATTTGACTTTTGAAGGCACATGCCAGGCTCTGAACCCAGCCGAAGAGTCTTTTTGAGCCTATTTTGGCTCTATCTTAAAAAATCTCCTTGCGCATACTATTTTGTCGTAAAAGGTTGACCTTGACATTTTTCACTTCTTCGATTCATTTTCAAAAAATTCCGGCATGCATAGCTCAAAATTCCCATTATATTATTAACTGTAAGCTTTTTAAGCTGAAAAGTCCCTAAAATTTGTCAATTTTGTACATTTTTGATCAATTATAGTGAAATGCTTGGTTAGAAAGCTTGCGAATGAAAATGTTATTTACAGTTTGAGTTGTGCATGCCGACATTTTTTTAAAATGAATCGAAGAAGTGAAAAATGTCAAGGCCAACCTTTTACGACAAAATAGTATGCGCAAGAAGATTTTTAAAGTTACACCCAAAATAGGCTCAAAAAGACTCTTCGACTGGGTTCAGGGCACAGAATGTGAGTCCCCAGTGAAAATTTTTATTAATTACTTGGTAAGACATCAAATTTTTAACTAATTTTCACAGTGGGACCTATTTAGGAGAAAATAGCATTTTCACCAGAACCTCCCCTTAATCTGCCAGTGGGCTGCGTTTCACCACAGTATCGCCTTCCACTGAGCCGAGCTCTTCGCGAAGGCAGGCAGGATACGTGTCGTTAAAGGCTCAACAGTCTGAAAAGGTGCAAAAACAACGTTTTTGGCACCCTACGAAAAATGGCTAATTTTAGAGCCGCGTATCTCCTGAATGGTTTGTCTCACGGGCCTGGGCGTGAGCTCATTGGATTCCGTGGCTTTTTTTCTACAACATGAGCGTTGAATCGTGTCAATGGGTCTAATAGTTTCCGAAATCCCAAGATTTGGGTATTTTCCTACATTTTGGCCCTTTTTCCCAACTTTGGAGGCCGATATCTCTGTAAGTATTGGTCGTAGATCAATTCTGAGGGCACCATCGAGTTCCTTATATATTTAATTTTGCATCACAGAGCCAATTTTCATCCACCTGGCTTAAAAAGTACGTCTCGTATAAAAAATACCCAAAATACCCAGCTTTTTAAAGAAATTAAAACAAAGTTAGCTATAACTCAGCCAAGAAGGCTCCGAGCGACAGATAATATATACAAGAATTAACAGAAAAGATTTTCAAGAGTCAGAAATTTTTTTTGGATGTTTCCGCTGAAAGTCACAACTCAACCATCTTTTAAAAGCCGCTTACATTGAGTCCTTTCTTGACTTGTCGAAGCTAAAAATGTTTTGTAGGACCATTTTGACTAAGCGCATTACCTTCCAATCAGGGCATACAGGACATGAGCCCCGTCCCGTTTGAGCCCCGATGGTCTGAGCCCGGACCTGAGCCCCAACCTGAGCCCGGGTTGAGCCCCGACTTGAGCCCCGACCCAAGCCCCAATTTTCAGAGCCCGGATTGAGCCCCGACCTGAGCCCGGTTTGAGCCCCATTAGAGCCCCGCGACCTGAAATCACGTATTTTTGCATGATTTATTCAATAAATGTTATTGCCACGGGGCTCAAATGGGGCTCAAACGGGGCTCAAACGGGGCTCAGGTCGGGGCTCAATCCGGGCCCTGAAAATTGGGGCTTCGGTCGGGGCTCAAGTCGGGGCTCAACCCGGGCTCAGGTCGGGGCTCAGACCATCGGGGCTCAAATGGGACGGGGCTCATGTCCTGTATGCCCCAATCAGCTTTGTTCGAACGGAGAAAAATTTCACTGAAAACATTTACTGAAGATCACAAAAAAGTCATCGATAAATTGTTTATGAGGACAAACTTCGTCTCCTACATTTGCAGAAAATAAATTCTATAGATTATAAACAAATTTGTCATCATATTTCTACTGACATTTTAAATTTTCTGTAATTAAGTAAAAGATTGTCTATAATTACCAAATTTGTTACCGCTAATTTATCTGTATCTCATGTAAAATTTATTCGATATGTTATTGGAAATATATACCATATCATAGTAACGCTCTAAAATCACTAAGCCGTAGAGTAAATTTTCTACAATATAGGAAAATTAATCAGTTAAGGTCTGAGAGTGCACCTGCTAAAAACGACTTCTGTGACTGTGCGGAGCTATGACAAGAGAGGAACAAACAAGCTAGGGCCCGCCCTTCCGTCGAACCGAGTTGCCAGCTCCGCTTCGCCGGCAACTCGGTTCGACAGGGGGCCGGCCCAGCTTGGCCTGCCGGCGGCCTTTTCTCGGGCCTTCGGTCCTCGCATCGGTTACCAGACATAATGTCCATGAACTTAATGTCCAATGTCTCAATGTCCATGAATTTATGTCCATGTGCATAATGTCCAGGTTTTAATGTCCATGAATGTTAAGTCCAAGGGGTAAATGTCCACGCACAAATGACCATGTTTCATAATGTCCTTTAAATATTGGCCAGGAAATACTCCGTTCTGGCAGGAACATTCCAATGGTCAGGGAATCGCCATTTTTAGCAGATGACACCGTTGCTAAAGCTAAAGCAAGCTAAACAATTGCAATGAAGGTGTCAGCTTGCTTTTACTCTCGAGATAGTTTTAAGGCGGGGCGGGACCATGCGTGTGTCCGTGCGTGAAGCCGGCCTGGGCTGGAAAAGGGCATGGGGCCTGGGGCCGCCCCCTCCCCCCCCCCCTCTAACTCCCCGCCGCCAGCGCAGGGCGCAGTGGCGCGGCGTGCTGCGTGCCTAGGCAAGGCTCGGCCGGCTCGGCTCGGCCCTCAAGCAGGGCCGAAGCGTGGCCTGCTCAGCTCGTATCGCCTTCGGAGCTAGGTCGGCTTCGCTCGGCCGATGCCGATGCAGGATGCAGCGTGACACCGCCGCCGGCGACGCCGCATGCCGCTGGAGGCGAGGGGAGCGGGGGCCTCGCACTGCACAACAACAACAGTGTCGCCGGCTGGCCTGAAGGAGCGCGTTGCGTGTGTGGAGTAAAAATAAAAACAATGATCCTGACCCTGAATGTATATGCTGTATATATTTGTAAATAATAAATCCTACAGTAAATTTATTTTGAATTATTCTTATTGCAAATGTCAATTTTGGTGAATGAAGTGATAAACAAGCATATTAAAATAAACATTCTCATTACAATGTCATCTGCTTCCACGTTAGCGTTAGCGTTAGCGTTTTTTGGAGATACTTCCCGCGCGAGGGATGTTCGGGAGGCAGGAGTTCCATTGTTACCCGTCTCATAGTAAAAATTTTCAGTCATGGCAGAAATCATTCAATCTCATAAAGGAAAGCCCCAGTTAGTTTACCGCATGAGAAACGTCTTAGGGAGAGCGACAATAGGATCATCTGACCTAAGATATTTTCATAACAGCTGCACTCTTAAAAGCCTACGAATCATTTGCTTCATAACTACAAAGCAAATGAAGGCGTTGTAGAATTGCTTCGTATTATGAAGAAATGCTTCGTATTACGAAGGATTTTGCTTCATAATACGAAGCATTTCTTCGTAGATTTTACAATGCCTTCATTTTCTTCGTATTACAAAGCGATTCTTCGTAGAGTTTTCACTGTGTGTGGCGTGGTGTTGTTGCTGCGGAGTGCTGGTTCCCGGTGCTGCTGGACATTCTGACTCATGGACGAAATGGTTTCTGGACCTTAATTTGGAGGACCTTTTTATACATGGACATTTAAACCTCATGGACATTTTGGATCATGGACATTATTTCTGTGGACCTTATATGGTGGAATGCTCGCATCAGACCCAACTTGGCCAGTCGAAGGGCCGGGCCTTCGGCCCGCTCGCATCACACACACCGTGAGCGGGTAAAGCAAAGTTATCGATGTACCATCGTGACTTAGGCCCGCCCTTCTATTCACAATATGCAATAGTCCTTACACTTTTTACTCCAACTGTCCTTAGAATATGCCCATTTCATTTGTCTCTTCGCCCTCATTCCGAAAATACCCATATTTGCCATGCTACTGCAACTCCTTGCAATAGAGGCACAGCAGGAGCGCGAAACGAGTCCGTCGCACTTTTTCCCATAACTCATGAAGGCGGGCTCCTGGACTTTCCTTCCGACCCCTCGTTGAAGAGGTCTTGCCAAGACCTATCGAAAACTTAAGTAAAAATTTTCAGTCGGTCGACCCCCTTTTTTCAAGATCCTGATGTGACTAATAGACGAAGTCGGGCTCCTGGACCCCCTTTCCGACCCCTCGTTGGAAAGGTCTCGCTGAGACCAATCGAAGTCTGCAATAAATTTTTTTAGTCGGTCGACCCCCTTTTTTTGAAGATCCTGATCTGGCCAACTTGTAAAAGCGGCCGATGGGGTCGGGACCAGGTCCATTCATCTTGTCTCGTCGCCCCGATTCCAAAAATACCCCTATGTGCCCTGCTAGCACCAATAATGGCGGAAATCCCCCTCCCGCTCATGTAAACCATGATGCACCTGCAGCAGCCCTTGTGCGACCCGGACAGGATTTGCACCACCGGATTATTTGTTTGGACGGTACTCCTGAAGTACCCTCCAAATCTGGTTACTCTAGCTCAACTCTTTCCTTGTACACAGACGCCAACAACAACAACAACCCTCCCCCTATTTTTTGAATAGAAGGGCGGGCCAAAAAAGGAGGCCATTTCGATGCCAACCACCGGGCAGTGTCGCACTTTGTTGCCCAACTTTGGGCGATAAAGTGTATCTCGCCCATAACCCAGGGAGAAAAAAAAAAGTCCAAATTTTGTCAATATGACCTTAAAATGAGCGACCTTCGGTCAAAATTTGGTCCGTTTTGATGTCCAAATAATGTCAGTGATTTCATTTTGACTACCTGTTCTCGTTGGGTAATACGGTATTGATCAAAACTCTTTCATTCTCAGTGTCATGTCTGCAAATGGAACGCATTGTTCTACCCTTGGGAATACGCAGGGTTGCCTTCTGTCTTTTGCCGGCGTTGTGTTAGTGGCCTTCGAAAGGAGGCGGAAGATGGCGGGGAGATGTTCTCGTATCGAAGAACACGCATTGCCAGGAAATTTGAAAATAAATGCATTCTCTTTCCACTCGTTGTTCGAGCGAAGTGCCATGCTGACTCGAACCTGTAAAACAATAGCCGGAAAAGTTGCGATAAGAGAAGAGTGGGGCTGCCCAAACTCCGATGCAGACTGCATTTTCAGAATATAACGCGAGTGTTTACCCTCTCGGCGTTTTGAAGATGTGGCCATGGATTCCATTTCAAGGAGTTTGAGTGAGATTTTAAAATGTCCCAGATCGACTTTGCTGTATAGGAATGGGTGTCTCTCAGCTAATGCACTGTACAAACTACGGTAAACGCCGTACTTTCAGGCACGGTGAACACCGTACTTCCAAGTCCAGCAAATCCCCTTAATAGATTAACGGCGAAAACCGCACATTTTACTCACAGTGGTCTCTGAATTTCTTAAGGGAGAGTGGGGCACCTCCTGCCACTTTTTGGGTTTTGTCTCTGGTTTGCGTTGTTTCTACTTGGTGACGAATATGTGTAGTCGAAAACTTCATTGGTCCTTAATCTACAATAACCCGTTGATAGAAACTAAAATATGTCACGTTTATGTAGAGTTATCTCCTACTCTAAGCACCTCTGCAATTGGCAGTAGGTGCCCCGGCCCGGGGCACCTACTGCCAGGGACAGGGGCACCTCCTGCCAAGGGGCGGGGCGAGTATTCCCTGGGAGAGTGGATGGTCCTTGAACCTAAATTTTGTGGCCAATTGATATGGTGATAAAATCATTACTGGTCAGAAAGACGAGCTTCTCGTCGATTTGGAGCTGTTCGAACATATCCTCAGTGGTGCTGCGGTAGAAAGGTCAACCCAAACGTGGTTATTTGAAAATCAAAGCTGTTGCAATGTCAAAACAGGTATTATCCCACTCATATTCACGTTACTTGTTCCCCGAAATCATACTGGTGCCCTCAACTAAACATGAACTCAGTTTGGCATGAAATATTTTGCCAATTAAGGGATTTTAAGGTGACAGTACCTGCCCCAGCCAAAAGTGGCAGTAGGTGCCCCACGCCATGCATGAGAGAAAATTGGCCTCAGCACTTTATCGGTGCAGCGCTGATGTCATCCCAATGTTGCAAAATGCTCCTAAAAATACCAACTATCGGACAGGAAAACCATTTTTTGATACCCGAACATTGGAAGTGACTGTCAGAGGACACATTATAGTCAAAATGTCAGAAAAGTGCTCGAAATCTTATCTTTTAAAGTTTGATTTCACACTAGGGCTACAATTTTAATCTGACCGTAACCATTTTTTGGCATTGAGGTGCATATGGTCATACCTTGATTTAACCAAATTGGCTGCTCAACAGTGCGAGTGGTTTGCCCCCCACGGCACTTTGGCAGGAGGTGCCCCTGGCAGGAGGTGCCCCACTCTCCCTTACTTTACGGATTTCAGTGCTACCGACAAGTGTCATTAGTGGTGGTGCTCAAAACTTTGGGATCCCACTGCTTACCCAGAGGTTGTCATCCAGCTCTTTCTTCATGCTCATATTCCCCGAGACTGTCTGCGTTTCGAAGGGTCTGGCGGGATTGAAGTGACTTGGACGTAGGTCTAGTGTATAAGTATACTGTTCTTGCGAGTCGCATCTCTCGAAACTCCTCGCGTACGCAATAAATGGACCCTAGGGCAAAAGACCTTGACCTTAGAAGGTTTTAACCGTTGACGTGGAAGAAATGTACCTGTTCAGTCAAAGAATGATTTGAGAATCCTGTCAACTTGTTCTGGGTTGTTTCGGGTTTATTTAGACGCTGTAAAATTTTATGTCCGAAATTAACGACGGATCCTTTGGCAAAAAAAATTGCCAACGGTTCCTTCGTACATTTACGAAGCTCTTCGTTTATTTACAAAAACCTTCGTTAATTTTTTGAACGATCTCTGTCGATTTTACAATCACAATAGAAATTTACGAAGCACCTTCGTAAATCTAAAAAGATGCTTCGTAAATTTACAGGGAACCTTCGTTAATAAACAAAGAACCTTCGTTAATATACAGAGAACCTGCGTAATTATACGTCTGGGATTAACGACGGATCCTTCGGCAAAAAAAATTGCCATCAGTTTCTTCGTTTAGTTACTTTTGGACATTCCCAAAAACCTTCGGAAAATATTCCGTCGTAAATTCACAACATAATTTTAACAGTGTAAAAGTGACCATGGACTAATCTGCCGTCTGACCTCAAAACGTTTATGATTTATTTGAGTTCTTATTTGAAGGGATGCTTATGAAGCGGACGAAGTGGAAAACTCAATTTTGGTCGTTTTTGGACGCAGGATTTAGAGATCAAAAATGAGAAACGCGGGCTAGAGAAACCTCAGTACGGGTTTTTGGGACAGTAAAAACGTCAAGTCGTATTTTCTGACATCAAAAATGCGACGCAAGGAAACTTATAGGTGAGCATACACTGTAAAAATAATGTGTTGAATTTACGAAGGTGCTTCGTAAATTTCCATTGTGATTGTAAATCAACAGAGATCGTTCAATAAATTAACGAAGGTTTTTGTAAATATACGAAGAGCTTCGTAAATTAACGAAGGAGGCAGATTCCAGACCTAAAGGGCAAGCCATTTGCCAACACCTCATGGATTTGGACCAAACTTGGTATACATATACCTTAAGAGTCAAAAAAATTTTTGGTAAAAAAAATTTTTTTTTCAAAAAATTTTTTTGTTAAAGATAAAAACATGTTTCTAGACAATTTGACGTCATCACCAAAAGTGCTCAAAATTTCACCAAAGACTCATCATTATGTTCTCTTTTCACATGCCAAGTGCCAATACGGTTAACTAAATACTTTGGGAGGTATTAAAGTTTACGAGTTCAAAAGAGACCAAACCCGTTAATGATTTTCACCTAGATTTGCTTCTATTCCAGTCAGCAGTCATATTTCGACTAAAGTAAAGCTTCGTCTTGAAAAATTTAGAACCAGACTTGATAGTTATACTGAGAATGATGCAATTTAAGGCCACATAAGGAATGTTCAGTGATATTTAGTCTTTTCTATGTTTAGTAATTCAATTGTTTTTATTGTATTTTAAAAGTTTTTAAAAAAAAATTTCACCAAAAATTTTTTTGACTCTTAAGGTATAGGTGTACCAAGTTTGGTCCAAATCCATGAGGTGTTGGCAAATGGCTTTCCGTTTAGGTCTGGAATCTGCCAGGAACCGTCGGCAATTTTTTGACCGAAGGATCCGTCGTTTATTCCGGACATTAATTTTTACAGTGTGTGTTTTTAACTTTACCCGTGAATATCTCCTAAACCATTTCGCCGAAAATTTTCATACTTGGGCTGAAATAATTTTGAGTAATATCCTATCAATGTAGAGCAAAAGAAAATTTCTGGAATGATAATCCTGGAAAAACCTATTTTCAGTATAGTCCCCCCTTAACCTGTTTGTCCGACCAGGGGGCGGCAACGGCCTAAGAAGCGTGAAGCCATGCGCGAGCGAGGTGCAGGGGTTACTTATTTTGCTTCGATTGTAAGATCTAGCCCGTTGATTGCAAAACACTTTGCACAGATCAAAAGACCACAAAATTTGGGGTGCATTAGGCCTAGTAGACTGCTCGATACTTCGAATTCAACCGAACACAAGGGCGGAATCATTTACATCAACATGGCGCAGTTTTTCCCCCCAAATTTTATGAGTTTTCGTGCTTTTACTGCACCTTAATGTGAGGTAATGGGAGAGTTTCGAGAAGAGCAATTAGCCTAATCCACCCTAAATTTCAAGCCCTTTCCAGCGGTGCAAAGCGTTTTGAAAAACACAGTCTAGTTTCCATAATTTCGAACAAGTGCGCAACCTTTGCACTGACGGCGCCAGCATCGCTTCACGCTCTCCCTAGGCCGTTGCCACCCCCTGGTCCGACACACAGAGCCTGGTTTTCATTTGAAACAACTTCGCATAATTAATCTTAAAAAATAAATCATTTTACAGGACTTATGAAAGGTATCGAAAGATACATTATGGAACACTGATTTTCAAGAGGCGGCAAACGAACAACTTAGAAAAAGTAATCATTTCAACTTCAAATCAAGTATTTGGCTGAAAACTTACGTTTTCTCCATGGGAGATGCTAAACATCACTGCAGAGCAAATTGCAATTTTTCCCTTTAACGCGAAAATGTTTGTTACTTAAGGGGAGGTTCTGGTGAAAATGCTATTTTCTCCTAAATAGGTCCCACTGTGAAAATTTGTTAAAAATTTAATGTCTTATCAAGTATTTATTAGAATTTTTCATTGGGGAGGCACATTCTATGCCCTGAATCCAGTCGCAGAGCCTTTTTCTCCCATTTAGGCTATAACTTTAAAAATCTTCTTGCGCATACTATTTTGTCGTAAAAGGTTGGCTTAGACATTTTTCACTTCTTCGATTCATTTTTTAAAAATGCCGGCATGCCCATCTCAAAATGTCAATTGAATTTTTATTCGCAAGCTTTCTAACCAAGCATTTCACTAAAATTGATCAAAAATGTACAAAATAGACAAATTTTAGGGACTTTTCAGCTTAAAAAGCTAATAATTAATAATATAATGGAAGTTTTGAGCTATGCATGCCGGAATCTTTTGAAAATGAGTCGAAGAAGTGAAAAATGTCAAGGTCAACCTTTTACGACAAAATAGTATGCGCAAGGAGATTTTTTAAGATACAGCCAAAATAGGCTCAAAAAGACTCTTCGACTGGGTTTACAGCCTGGCATGTGCCTTCAAAAGTCAAATTTTAGTCTCCCCAATGAAAAATTTTATATCCCGAACAAATTATGACTGTAGGATCCATTTCGAAAATGGCAAGATTTTCACCAGAACCTCCCCTTAAATGAAGCTCTTGGGTTCACTGTTCTACAATGCAGATTGTAAGTTCATAGTGTGGTCAATCATTCTCACTTTTCTATTTTCAAATTTTCAGCACCAAACAACTCTGCAAGTATATTATAGCCGTGAGCTAGATGGGGTGCTCGCGACATTTTTAATACAACTCCACTTTCGGAACTTTGCGACCTGGGGGAAGGGGGGGGGGGGAATTAACTGGCCAGCATAAGTAAATAGACACTTCCACCAGAGCACCGAGTGAAGAACAAGAAGAATAACAAAACCCGGAAACAGTCCATAAAAGTTGCTCATTTGTCCATATTATGGATTCATTTGGGTTCTACGATCGGTTAAAATTAGACAAAGACGAGTTTTATGATTTTAGACCGTCAAAACCTATATATAAGACGTTTATGGGAACTGGTTCCTGCACCATTTCTTCCTCTTGTTCTTCATTCGGCGTTCTGGTGGAAGTGTCTATTAGTAGCCATCGATGTCGCTGTCGGAGTCCGATGATATGTCAAAGGACAATTTGGCACTTTCATTTTCCTGCCTCTCGAGAGGTCGCTTCTTACAGCAAAAGTATTTATGTGTTTTCCCTCGACGCTGTGTTGAGGGGCCAGAATCATAAGCGCCCACAAGAATCTTGATGGGAACATACTTGACTTGGCCCCCTACTTCTAGGACTGAACTTGATTTTGAAGCCTCTGGAAACAGCGAAAGCGTCACACAGAAATGGCTATGAGATGTCGGAGCCACAAGCTGGACCAGCAGACTGGTTGCATGTCACCCGCATGCCTGTGACGCATGCCACTCACGACAGGTGCTTTACAATGTCACGATTCGATTTATAAAAGGTATGAAGCTGGGTCTTATCCATTAAATCAAACCCCGTGACATAAAAAATCAATTGTGGGTCACGGATCAGTTACGGGCCGCTACACATCTATGAATGAAGAGATAGACTTCAAATTCGGTATGGGTCTTTCCTCAACCTTCCTTCGTCACCTGAAAGAGCGCGGATATCTGAGCAACGACCACAGCGCCACCTATTGGGCAGCGCAGACACACTCTCAGACCTAAACTGATTAATTTTTCTATATTGTAGAAAATTTACTCTACGGCTTAGTGATTTTAGAGCGTTACTATGATATGGTATATATTTCCAATAACATATCGAATAAATTTTACATGAGATACAGATAAATTAGCGGTAACAAATTTGGTAATTATAGACAATCGTTTACTTAATTACAGAAAATTTAAAGAGTTGCTGTTGACAGACATAACTTTCGACCCACATAACTGTAAATCCACATAACTAGTGACAGAAATAACAGATTTATTTCTGATATAAAAAAGCATTTATTATTTGAATTAAAATTATAATTGCTACAGACATAACATTTTACAAAAATAACCAAATCGCATATACATATAACTGTTGACAGACATAACATTTGACAGGCATAATATTTGATAGGCATAACCGTCGACAGACATAACTTTCGACAGACATAACTGTCGGCAGATCAATGCAAGAGCTTCCCGAGGGATTAATGGATAAAGCTCAAATTACAGCATGGTAGACTCAGCAGGGACAGCTGCTTCCAGTTCGATAGAGGGGCAAGATGAGCAGTGCCGCCTCTGCTTTGACCGCCCTAGAAATCACGCTGCAGTGCCGTGCGGGTATCGCATCTGTTGCAAGACCTGCGCGGGACGGTTGGACGAGAGCGCCACTTGCCCGCTGTGCAGGAAGGAAATCTTGATGATCGAAATTTTTGACAAGGCTTCATTTTCTTCTATTTATCCTCC